TATTTTATCTTCTCGGATAAATTCTTAACGGTTAGCATATGAATCATCACGACCTTCAGGGGTTCTAGTCGCTTCAAGATCGTGAGAGTAGCGACACGAATTATATATATATATATATTATAAGATAAACCTAAGGAGACAGGCAAACCTACCTATGTTTCACCTAAACGGATCGTCAGGTCAATGCTGGCCTTAGGTTTGCTCTACTTCGTATATTGAGCACTTTACGCAGTTGCCTTTTACTCGTTTTGGAGGGTTTTTTTCTTTGGACTTTGAGCTTGAATTCTGGACGATTGTTTTCGCCTTAGTTTCAGGTTCTTGTTTCTTTCTTCTTTATTCCTCATTTTTTATATTATTATTGTTATTGTTATTGTTATTATTATTACTATTCTTATTTTAAGACATTTTATGGTTAACATTCTTTTTATAGATACAAATATTTAAGTAAATGCTCTGTTTATAATAAACAGTATTAAACAACATTTACCGGCCTGAATGTCCGAGAAATTTTCACAGAAAATATTCGTCCTCCGACAGGATTCGAACCTGTATCCTATACGGAACCGGCATTTAGCTTGACGTGCCTTTACCGATTACTATTATTTTCTTCGATATTTGTTCTATATTCATTTCCTCTCGGGTCCCAACCAGAGACCTAAGTTTAGAAAAAGAATCATGATTTTCCACTGTAAAAAAAAAAAAAATATAACAATCTCAGATCACACACATTTTACATAGATAAAGTGTGAACTGTCTTTGTGAGAATTTGTTTTAGCATTTCTTTAAGGCGTGGGCTACTAGAAATATCTTCAATGAGTCTATCGAAACGTTTTCCAATCAATCCGAGTGCTCCAACTACAACTGGAATTACTGATGTCCTCATGTGCCACATTTTTGAGATTTCCATTTCAAGATCCTTGTATTTTGATAGTTTTTGAAGATCTTCAAAGATACATTGCAATCTGCAGAAATTGCTATGTCAATACGAAAGCACATTCTGTTTTTGTTGTCTTTGTTTACGATGTCTGGGTGATTAGCTTTGATTGTTCAAGATTGTGTGTATTATACAAGCCCATAAATTATGACAGGTCTTATATCTGTAACCGAGTCTGGGTGATGTTCATCGCAATTTTCTTCCTGTAAAAATTGCATATTATCCAATTCTATCAGGACAAGTTTTATATTCAGTGGGTGCCAATACCGTGCAACCTGATACAAAATGGTCAATTGTTTCTGGATATTATCACAGAATCTGCATTTCGGATTAACACAGTTTTTCAGCAGTTTTACTTGGTAATTTCTAATTAACAAGCATTGGTCCTGCGCAGCAAGAATAAAAACTTTGCTTTCAGCTTTCATTGATCATTGTGTATATATATATATATATATATATATATATATATATATATATATATATAATATATATAACAAAACAAAGTCGATTAGCTTTCATTGTTCTATCTGTGTATACTGTAAAGTCCATGAATTTTCTCTGTAACTCGGTCTGGGTGATAGTTATACCAGTTCCTTGCAGTTTATTATTATTATTATCATTATTATTATTATTATTATTATTATTATTATTATTATTTTCTTCCGTACGCTTTTTTTCATTTCAAGCAGAAATCTTGCAAAATGGGTTTTTGCTATCAAGTCATCCGATCTCAAACAGAAAATATCCTTCACAGAAGATTTGCATTGCCAGGCAATGCGGACTTCTTAAGCAATGGGGAAACGTGGTCTTATTTCGTTTTTCTTTAAAAAAAAATGTTCAGTTCGCCCTCATGATAACTGGCACAATAGAGATCTGAATGTCCCATATTCAGGCAATATTCAATCAATCAATCAATCATTATTATTACTGAATGGTAAAATCTTTTCAGAGAGTAATTTAAAGTCCTTAATTATGGCACTGATGAGTAAAAAGGGCCCCTTAGGTGAGCCACCTATGCACATCTGCAATGTTTTGTTTAGGGGGAGAGGGTTGTGCGGATGATGGGTGCAGTTCCGTACAAAGATGTTGAAACATCCAAGAATTTTAATCACGTGATTTTTGGTTCCTTTCTTTACTTCTTTCTTTCTTCCTTCTTCTTCTTCTTCTTCTTCTTCTTATTATTATTATTATTATTATTATTATTATTATTATTATTATTATTAACTTCCATACGTTTTTTTCCGTTTCAGTCAGAAATCTTGCAATATGAGTTTTCGCCATCAAGTCGTACAACCTCAAACAGAAAGCATCTTTCACGGAATATTTATGCCAGGCAACGCGGACTTCTGAAGCGATGAAGAAACGTGGCCTTATTTCGTTTTTTTTTTAAGGTAAATGTTCAGTTTTCTCTTACAATAACTGACACAAATGAGATCTGAATGTTACACATTCAGGCAACATCAATCAATTATTATTATTATTATTATTATTATTATTATTATTTGTGTATGTTATGTTTCCTGCTTTGTATCCTGTAGAGCCGGGTCCACGCTATGGTCCTTAGGCCCTATATGAGAATAGTCATTTAATTGATATCACTTTTCTTAGTATATGGGGATGTTCCTAGTAAGGCGATCTTCTGGGCAACATGTCTGTTGATGTCTCCTGGGATACTGTTAGTAAAATTGTCCATTCTTTTTCTCACGAGGCCCAGTGCTCTCATTACTATTGGCACAGTCTCAGTCTTCATTCTCCACAGCCTGTTAATCTCGATCTGCAGGTCCTTGAATCTGGACAATTTCTCGATAGTTTTCATGGAGGTGTTTCTCTCAGATGGAACTGCTATGTCAATAAGCATACAATTCCTGAATTTCTTGTCTTTTATGATAATATCAGGATTGTTGGCTTTATTATTATTATTATTCAAATAAACGCATCTAGTATAGGAAGATAAATTGTTATACCGGAACATTACCTATTCTTTTGTAATAGACTCTCCCACACATAATAAGTAGTAGTAGTAGTAGTAGCGGTCGCCAGTTGGGCTCAGTGGTGTTGAGTGAGTCAGTCGATGTCGGACATTGAAGTATCAACCATCACAACTAGATTGCTGCGTCATTAACTATTATTTCAAGTTCCTAACGTTTTGTACGTCGAACCTAATTTAGGACCAACTTAGTGAAATACAAGCCTCCACTGTGAAAACTACTCTACAACAGAAATACAAATTGAAAATATAACAGCCAAATGTAAAGCTGAATCTTATCGAGAAACAATGGTAATACCAATCTGTGGAGGCACGGATAGTGGCTCAGATTGAGGAATCGGAAAGCCGAGTTCGAATCCCAGTCAGGTGCATTACATTCACTTGCGTGCTAATACACTTGGGAAAAGTATGAATCCATCTTCTTCTCCTCCATGGGTAAATAGCAAAGCAAAATGGGTTCTATAGCCGTGGATGGCAACAGGTCTAGAAGAAGGAAAAACTCAAACCTAGAAGGTTGAGCTCCTTCAGTCTACCTTGCCCACAAAGTACCACTGCTAATGCTACTGTGGTTATCCTACGACCCTGATGGGTCGTGATCGTGTTGTAGCATGCCTACGGTCTATAGTGGGCCTGTCCCCATTCATATAAATAGAGTAGTAAATACTGTATGTTGGTCAGCAGTTGGAGATTCGTCTCCAGCTGTGCTGGTCAAACACTCTGCCTTCGTGCAGAAAGGATTCCCAGACGAGGCGGCTGTGTCGAATGGTAGAGTCGCGTTTCGGGAAACAGCTACCCAACCCCGTTTTATACGTGGTCTACGGGGAATTTTTGGCCGAGCCTATGGGCTCGGATACCCCACATTAAATTCAGCCTTGTTCCACATCTGACCGCGTGGGGCGGTTGGTAGATATCCTGCAGTTGGAGATTCGTCTCCAGCTGAGCTGATCAAACTCTCTGCCTCCGGGCAGAAAGAATCCACAGACGAAGCTATGTCGAAGGGCAGAGTCCCGTCTCGGGAAACAGTTACACGACCCCGTTTTATACCAATTTAGCAAGTGTTTGTAAAAAAAAATAATTTTCAAAAATGATTCAATTCATTTGTGGATCAGTCAAAGCAATGAGTGTTTTTTTTTTTACCACAAAAAAAAAAAAAAACCCACTAAATATTCCGTACTAATCATTGACCTAGCCACTGACTATAAATTTACCAAAATTTCGAACGTGCTAGAAAGGATTAAAGATATATTTAAATAATAAAAAAAAATACTTTGGTCTTTCCTCTTAATAAGAGCATAAATATTTGGGGGCCTTTTATCGTAACGATAGGGTCATTTTCAGAAAAAAAAATTTGAGGTACCTAATTTAGATAGATCGATAATAGGAGTCGATAGGTTCACTTATCGTCCGGTTCACGCTCCTCCCCGATCTTTTGAACGGGAATAGAAGTTTAGCCCTAGTTTCCGGTCTAGGGTCTGGTTTCCGGTTCCTTCTAAAGTCTTTTTACTTTTATTCTCTTGCAACTTGCATGGTGTATGTGCTTGGTGGGGATTGTTTAAAAAAAGCCCCAAAGCAAAATAACCTCGCTGAGCGTTCTACGAATTGTGACCATTTGCAAACTTTATCCAACTGTGTACACCCACTTTTATGACCTTGAGTCAGACTAAGCTAAGATTTACGAATAAATATATCCGGATTTTTAGTACCAAGTTGATGACAATCTTTACTTGGTATTCTTAATAGCGAAATCTCGTCCTGCCCGATCGAGTTATTTCCTTTTGCAATATGATTAATAATACGAACCAAAATTGAAGATAGTCATCCGGTGTAAATATCAACAAGCCAGTAAATGCGTTCTTTCTTCAACGAATGTCAATCAAAGTAGGGGCGAAAACAGTCGAGAAAAACAAACAACCTTGACCTCATTTGGGAGATTTTCCGCCCTCCAAAAGCAATCTGACCGGCTGTGCAGAGAGACACTGCGGCAATTCTGTGTACAAATGAGTATTACCCAAACACCAAAATGTCATTCAGGACTAGTCACTAATCGCGAAACAAAAAATCGCTTCATTGTTATCTAAGACCTTTTGACTGAAAAAAATTCCTGCCAGCGTCACACCAGCGTGTTTGCCTTCAGCGTCCTTCTTTTCCTTGAATTCTTTCTTTCTTTTTTGTTTTTCTCTTCTTTCTTTCTTTCTTTCTTTCTTTCTAGTTTTTGTTCTTCTCTATTTTCCTTACTTATTTTCCTTTTCTTTCTTTCTTTCTTCCTTGCTTTCTTTCTTTCTTTCTTCTTCCCTCTGCTTTTCTCTTTTTTCTTTCTTTCTTTTTTATTTTTCTCTCCTCTTCTCTCTCGTCTTTTCTTTCTTTCTTTATTGTTATTTGTTCTCACATCTTCCCTCTTTTTTTCCCTCTTTTTCTTTCTTTCTTTCTTTCTTTCTTTCTTTCTTTCTTTCTTTCTAGTTTTTGTTCTTCTCTATTTTTCTTACTTATTTTCCTTTTCTTTCTTTCTTTCTTTCTTTCTTTCTTTCTTTCTTTCTTTCTTTCTTTCTTTCTTTCTAGTTATCTGTTCTTCTCTTTTTCTTTCTTTCTTACTTTTCTCGCTTTTATTCTTCCTCTGCTTTTCTCTTTTTCTTTTCTTTTCTTTTTTTATTTTTTCTCCTCTTCTCTCTCGTCTTTTTTTTCTTTCTTTATTGTTATTTGTTCTCACATCTTCCCTCTTTTTTTCCCTCTTTTTCTTTCTTTCTTTCTTTCTTTCTTTCTTTCTTTCTTTCTTTCTTTCTTTTCAATAAATAAACCGTATATCTAACCTTCTTTCTTTCTTTCTTTCTTTCTTTCTTTCTTTCTTTCTTTCTTTCACGCCCCGCCGTATCTCTCTCACCTTCTTTCTTTCTTTCTTTCCTTCTTTCTTTCTTTCTTTCTTTCTTTCTTTCTTTTGTCTCTATTCTATCTTCTTTCTTTCTTTTTTCTTCTCCCTTCTTCTAATATTCAATTCTTTCTTTCTTTCTTTCTCGCTTTTATTCTTCTCTCTGCTTTTCTTTTTTCTTTCTTTCTATTTTGTTTTTCTCTCCTCTTCTCTCTCGTCTTTTCTTTCTTTCTTTATCGTTATTTGTTCTCACAACTTTTTCTTTCTTTCTCTTTTTTCTGTCCCTATTCTCACTGTTTTTCTTTCTTTCTCCTTTCTTCTCACTTTCCCTTCTTTCTTTCTTCCTCTCTTCTCTCTCTAATTCTTTCTTTTCTTTTCTTTTCTCTCCTCTTCTCTTTGTTTTCCTTCCTTCTGTTCATCTATCACACTTTCATTATTTTCATACTTCCTCATTTTCAGTGTTTATTTTTTTCCTTCTTACTTTTTTCGCCCCCCCCCTTCTTTATTTCTTCCTTTCTTTCTCAATATTTCGTTCTTTCTTTTCTCCTTTCCTTTTATTTTACTTATACGCTATTTATTTTTCTTTCTCATCCTCACCTCCCACTTTTCTTTCATTCTTTCCTCTTTTTTTCTTTCTTTTCTTTTTTCTTATTCTCTTCTTTCTTAACCGTATTTTTTTTCATTCATAATTTTTTCTCTCTTTCTTCTTTCACACAGTCCTTCTTTCTTTCTCCCACATGTCGTCTGCCTTTCTCTTTTCTCAACTCTAAAAATAGCGACAGGAAGACGTAGGTTGATCTTCTGCAGACCTTCCCGCAAAGTGTGAGAAGTCAGTAACTTCCGGTCAGACAAACCGGCTTGTGTTATCTTCACTGAAGATATGAACCGAAGCGATAAATTTACCGAAGCGTGGAAGTGGAGGAAAAAGAAAAAAATATAAAACACAATGAAATCCTTCAGACTCGTCGTATTTTTTTAAGCCAGAAGATTAATCTTTTTTCAACTTTTACTTTAAGAATCTTTCCTCGAAAATACGTTGAAATCAAGATTCATTTATATGCCGTATCCCATCGTGACGTAAGTGATTGTGGCCTTCCACATCTTCCTGTTCTTTGTAGCTCTTAATAAAATTTGTCTCTTTGCTGTTTCTCCCAAAACCTGTTCTGCCATCCATTTAATCAAACCCGTTGCTTTCCTCTGTCACTCTGTCTCACAATCTGTCCTGTGAATATCGGATTTTGTTCGGTGTCCCAGAAATTTCAACGACTTTTTCCTGAAATTAATTATATTTTCTTTTTGTTTTCATTCTCTTCAAAACATCGTCTTTGCTCACATGTTTGGTCCATGGAATCCTCAGCATCCTTCTGTAGAACCACATTTATGTTGCTTCAAGTCTCTTCTTCATCTGTGAGGAGATTGTCCAGCATTCATTGGCATATAAGAGGACTGATATTACATAACAGTTCAGTACTCTTTTCTTTGTTTCTGTTGCTTTAAGTATATTCTTCATCTGTGAGAAGATTGTCCAGCATTCACTGCCATATAGGAGGACTGATATTACATAACAGTTCAGTACTCTTTGTTTCTGTTGCTTCAAGTCTCTTCTTCATCTTTGAGGAGATTGTCCAGTATCCACTGCCATATAGGAGGACTTATATTACATAACAGTTCAGTACTCTTTTGTGTTTCCAACGAAATTTCTTTGTTTCTTAATACTGTGCTTAGTTTTTGGAAGGCATCTTTGGGCATCTCAGTATGTGGTGTGTTGTTTTATAGAATATTTAACTCCTTCTGTCCATGCTTAACAAGAGTCAGATGGGACCAAAAATGAAATATTGCTCTCATACCTGTGTAGGAAATCTTTCAGCCTTGGTAGAGATCAAAAGGATTTATGTAGCACAGCATGCAAATTACAAAGCGTTTTAACAGATGTCCATAGAAGCAGAAATTGTTTTTTGGGACATGACCATGCAAGGTCTTTTCCATAGACTTTTCAATTTTACTTTACGACTTTTTCTCGAATTAATGATTGATATTAATTTTATTCTGCATTCGTGTTAAATTCACCAAGCCATCTTTCCTCATGATATCGCCCAAAACTTTAAGCCGTTTCTTTCCAGTTCTTTCTAGGAACTTAAGTTCCTTAAGCCTTCCTGGGATTTTCATACACTCTCTGACCCTTATATTCTTATCGACTATCTGGAAGAACTATAGGAAGACATTAAAAACAAGATGTTTCGATACCTGCTGCTACAATTCCCATTAACAAGATATGGGCGTTTTCGCCGATAAACAAGAAAACCCCGCCCAGATATACAAAAAGAGACAACTCATACCCTGTTAAAACTTTGGGATATGAATCGAAAAACTATAGATCATTTTGAATTACTCTCTATATTATGAGATGAGGTTTTATGTACACTATTTACATCATTCGGACTATTATCCTCATCTTTGTTGCCATATTTATCACCCTTCAGTATCTGTCTATATTTCTTAAATGAGGTATTATGTACACTATTTACATTATTCGGGCTATTGTCCTCATCTTTGTTGCCATATTTATCACCCTTCAGTATCTGTCTATATTTCAGAGATGAGGTATTATGTACACTATTTACATTATTCGGACTATTGTCCTCATCTTTGTTGCCATATTTATCACCCTTCAGTAACTGTCTATATTTCAGAGATGAGGTATTATGTACACTATTTACATTATTCGGACTATTGTCCTCATCTTTATTGCCATATTTATCACCCTTCAGTATCTGTCTATATTTCTGAGATGAGGAATTATGTGCGCTATTTACATTATTGGGACTGTGGGCATCGTCTTTGTTGCCATATTTATTGCAACGTTTCGGCCGTTGTACGCTCCGGCCTTCTTCAGATAGTTGGAATGTCAAACTTAACCCTTTATTTCGCTCACTGGGGTAGACTGTTCTATTTCCACGTTCCATGTCTAATGGATGTCAGTTATCAGTTATCTCCTGTTAATTCCCCTCTGAAAGTTCTCCACTGCCTTAACCGGGTATTGAACTCACACTCTTTGGGTCCTGTCACTGGATCTAACTAACGCCTTTATCCACTGTGTCATGCGTCCTTGAGGACATCTGTGTTTAAATTTCTGGGCATTATAATGTTTTCAGCTCTTTTTTACCAGTGCTCATATTGCAATTTTTGTTGTTATCATATCATATTTTTACCAGAACTCATATTGCAATTTTTGTTGTTATTATCGCTTTTCTCTTACACTACTTATTAGTGTTCCCATATTGTATCCATTTCTGTGCTTGGTCGGCTCATGGGATTTTTGTAGCCTAGCATATGTGCTGATTCCTTAAGTTTACGAATTTTCCAATGATGTTCTTTGTCTATGATCTCAACCTGATCCAACAGAAGGTGGTGATTTGCCTTCTCTCTCCATATCTGATCAGCCACACCTGATTTTTCACTACCCCTCGTGTGGCAGCTTTCTGATGTTCTTCAAGCCACTTCGAATTTGTTTCCTCATGTCGTGGCACATATTCAAGCAATTATTTAATTATAATGGTGTTTCATTAAGACGGATCAAAGTCAGCACTAAATAAATTTGTTATTGGTGAAAATTTATTTATTTCTCTATTGGATCCTGCTATTTAAGTCGTAGCAATTATGTGTAAAAATAATATCGCCCAAATGTTCGCCAAGGTTTTGGCGGCACACCTCCACTCGATGGTCAAAATTTTGATGACATCTCTGCATAGTTGCTCGTCGATCTCACCAATATACCTTATTATCTCATCCTTCCTCTGTTGAATTGTCACTGGCTTATTGGCATAGACCTTACTTTTGAGATGATCCCAAAGGAAGAAATCTAAAGGCGTCAAGTCACACGATCGCGGGGGTCAATTGACTTAGCTGTTTCGAGAGATGATGCGACCTGGGAACTTGTCATTCAAATTCTGTTTGAACGTCCATTTTCGTAATAGGCTTCGATAACTTTAACACGTTGTTTGATTATTAATCTTTCCATGGTTGAAATTACCAAAGACTTAAGTTGTTAAATCTGAAAGAAAAAGAAAAAAAATCATTAGACACTTAAACTTAATTCACATTTAAAGTCGCTCCAAGTTATTGGAACAGCCTTTATACATAATATGTTTAACAAGAAGATTCACGCTATTTCTAGCTGACCATAGCTCAATTAGGTCTCATTTAAATGCACATGGAAACCTACCAAACTCTATCCGTAACATATTCTCTGGAATATCTCTAGCTATAAAAGGCAGGATATGTGCGTGTGTGTGTATGTGTGTGTGTCTGTGTGTGCGTGCGTAACGAATGCACGGCCGCAATTTTCGACGGATTTCCACCAAAATTTACATGCACATCGATAGTGGAAATAATCGATTTTTTCATGCTTCTACAGCAGTTTTCATGTAATTTGCGGCCATTTTCTACTGGCCAGAGTGAGAGCCTATAGCTGGCATCCACGAATAGGCAGGAAGATTCTATTGGCCAGCGTGAGAGCCAACAGCTGACTGACACGAATGTTAACTTGCTTGCTAGCATGCAAAAAAAAAATCGATCGCGGCATTCGTCACACGTGGGAAAAATTTAAATCTGCATGGCACTTTACTCCAATTGGCTAATTCGCTTGCTTAAACTCATCGTTGATTCTGATTCCGCAGAACTGGGTTGGGTGTGAAAAAGTTTTGTTGTTAACATTCTTTTTTCATTCGGTTTTTCCAGTTACGAGTCCTTTTTTAAAGCTGATCGTTTTGTGTTCATTTTGTTTAGTTCTTTTTTCGTAACAGATTTAATGTTTAGTATAGAGCTTAGAAAAAATTCGCAGTGTGAGATAGGCAAGGAGTAAGGCATGTAGCAACATCAGCACGGCAAAGGGCACTCCTTTAAAGGCAAGGAAGGGGGAAAATATTTTAAGTCAAGTGATAGCGATTGCTGCATGAATCAAGTACGGTCAACGCCGGGCCATGCTGCTAGTTAAAATTATGATAGCACCATCCACATGTAAAAAAAGGCTAAAAATAAAGAAAGCATTATTAATAATAAAAAAGAAAAAGCCAACACTCAATAATATAAACTATGAACACGGCCACAATGTGCTGACCATGTTTGGAAAATAAATTATCCCTATAACTCTAGATACATACATAAAACAATCCATATATTCAGCTAAAACTAAAATAAAAATTCATCCTTGATATTAGTAATAAGTATAGTCGAAAGCATTTTGAAAACATTAGGACAATCTTTATATAATTCATGTCCTGAAAAGAAGAAACTTCTACGAACACAGGAGAAAAACACTCCAGCCACAGCAACTTGTATGTCGTTTTCAACGAAATTTGCATATATATATATATATATATATATATATATATATATATATATATATATGTTACAAATTAACTGATTCAAAATATAGTTTCTTCGCTACACAGGAATTACCATGTTTGAAAAACCGGAGTAAACTTCAAATTTAATTATATAATTAAATTAAAAGCATTAGTTCTGTTTCATCTTCAAGCGAATTTTGGAATAACTTATTTTTAAATTTACTGAGTTTTAAACACGCATACAATTCATAATTTTTTTGTTTCCAAGGATAGAGAGAAATTCAATCATTTAGACGTGAGCGGTATTTATGCTCTGTAAATTTACATTGAGCACTATTTTGTAAAAATAAAAATATCAATAAAAACACCGGATTATATATCTTACTGTTCTTTCTTTTTATTTATAATACATATATATATATATATATATATATATATATATATATATATATATATTGGTGGACTCTCCTGTCGTATTGGACGTATGAGGGTCAAGCAGCTCAGTTCCTACGAACCGACAGCCCAGACATCAGCATATATGATTTGATTATAGTGATGAAAGCTTTGTGCAGAACCAACCATACTTTTGAAGGGCTGAATACAGAGACCTGGTGCACTACGTGCCAGAAGGTCCCCAAACGACCCTCCGCAGGTTTTGAATTCAGAGTTTTTCTTCTCTTAGACCAGTTGCCATCCAAGGCTAAAGAACCTGGACAGTCCTGCTATTTTACCCATAGCTGGAGGGAGAAGAAGAGGATTCATACCTTTCCCAAGGGTATTAGCAAGTAAGTGAATGTAATGGATTCGACTGGAAAGTCAGTCAGTCAGTCAGTTATGTGCTATGCATGATACACTCTTAGGTGATCATGTATCTTTCGATACATGACTGACGAGGCAGATTTTTTTTTTACGCATTAGGTTTGCCATTTCTTTCTGCGGTAGACCAGTTGCCATCCAAGGCTCTAGAACCCGGTCTGTCCCAAGGATATTAGCACGTAAGTGAATATAATGGATGTGACTGGAATTATATATAATTATTTCTTTAAAAATTATAGCATAAATATGTCATAAAATCACTACAAAAATAGCCATTTTGTTTCAACACCTCCGGTGTCATATCAAGTGATGATGTTGAATGTAAAATAAAATCAAATAAAAAATTTATTTTACATTCAACACCTTTCCTTTAATAAGACAACGGAGGTGTTGTAACAAAATTGCTATTTTTGTATTGATTTTCTATCATATTTATGGCCTAATTTTTAAATAAATAATTATATCTGCTCCACTCTGTATTGAGCACTCTTTTAAGAATAGTAATTTTTGGTTATTGGAATTTATTCCGTATACACCAATCATATACTTGGGTATATATATATATATATATATATATATATATATATATATATATATGTATATGATGGATTCGACTGGAATTCGAACTCGGCTCTCCAATACATGTAATGTATTCGACTGAAATATACACTACAGCTGAAAAGTTTGAAGCCACCCTCAGAATTAGCATGGGCTGAGCTTAACAGAAGAGGAATCTATCTATCTATCTATCTATGTTCATTATCTCTCTCAGTTCGTTCACATCTATCTATCTATCTATCTATGTATTTCTGTTCCCATCTATCTATCTCTGCTGTTTCTGTATCTATCTATCTATCTATCTATCTATCTATCTATCTATCTATCTATCTATCTATTTCTGTTCCTATCTATCTATCTATCTATCTATCTATCTCTCTATCTATCTATCTATCTCTGCCGTTTCTCTATCTATCTATCTATCTATCTATCTATGTATTTCTGTTCCCATCTATCTATCTCTGCTGTTTCTCTATCTATCTATCTCTCTATCTATCTATCTATCTATCTATCTATCTATCTATCTATTTCTGTTCCCATCTATCTATCTATCTATCTATCTCTGCCGTTTCTCTATCTATCTATCTATCTATCTATCTATCTATCTATCTATCTATCTATGTATTTCTGTTCCCATCTATCTATCTATCTCTGCCTTTTCTGTCTCTATCTATCTATCTATCTATCTATCTATATATATATATATATATATATATATATATATATATGTTCAATATCTATCTGTCTATGTTCATTATCTATCTCAGTTCGTTCACATCTATCTATCTATCTATCTATCTATCTATCTATGTTCATTATCTATCTCAGTTCGTTCACATCTATCTTTCTATCTATCTATTTCTGTTCCCATCTATCTATCTATCTATCTATCTATGGATCAATTTCATATTCCCTAGATACGAACACAGAACTTGAGAGATCTAAGAATGGGAACGACAAAGATCCGTGGCACAAATCAACAGTTCAAATTAACATTTCTTTAATTATTTAATTTCATTCAAAAAAGCCATTTGAACGCAACGGTTTACTGAATGTGAAAGAATAAGTGAAGAAAAAGTCATTATTTAGGAGAGACTCTAATAAATGAATAGGATTTCATTCGGCAGAAGAATGATTGACACTGCATTGACATCATCGAAAATCAAAGTTGACTGGAAAGCAAAAGACCGGAAGTGAGTGTCACAAGCGTTAGGCGCGAAAAAAAAACTGATGATTACATCTAGGCATTGCCAATCTCGTACTGCCCATAACTTAGATAGATGCTAAAAGTCTTATATATATATATATATATATATATATATATATATATATATATATATATATATATATATATATATATATATATGAATAGGAAAGAACACTTTACATTATTAAGTTTGTAAGTAATGTAAATTTATTAAACCATAGACATGAGTTAACGGTTTTTTGCTTCCCTCAACAAATTTTCGCATTAAATAATTAGCATAAAAAAAATTAAATTTCATAGTCAAATAAAAAGTTTAAACGTTTAACCCAATCATAAGGTAGAAAAACCCTTTATGAAGTCGTCAAAAAACAAATTGTAGTTCAGTGCGACTCGTTTATGTACGAAACAGCCCTTCAGAAAGAATAAATAAATAAAATAAAATAAAATTCTCTGAAACTTAATAACGTATTATGGTGCCAACAGCTATCTGTCGAATTTTGCGATCTGGATGATTTTGCTCTTCTTACACGCGGTATATATATATATATATATATATATATATATATATATATATTTCAGCATTTATATATATAATATATATATATAATATATACATATATATATTTCGGCATTTATATATATGTATATATATATATATATATATATATATATATATATATAGCGTGTAACAGCAAAATTGTCTAAATCGTGTAACAGCAAAATTGTCCAATTATTAGATTAAGCATTGATCGGTTGTATATTAGAAATGATTGAAGAAATCTTACTAGAACTCTCTGAGTTTTTTTTTATAACACTACTGGACGCAAAACGATTTTTTAACCTGTTCTCTTTCTAGCTGAATAATTTGGCCATTTTATTTTATATATATATATATATATATATATATATATATATATATATATATATATATATATATATACACGTTTCATTAAATAATATAGACAAGTGTTGTCAATTTATGTTATGTAAATTTTTTTCATAACGTCTGATAAGCTTAATAACATTATCGTTGAACGAAGAAAGAAATTCATAATATTGATCCATATTTTTTCATACAATCTAAGCTTTCGGCTTGCATAAGCCATTATCAAAGATGTCAATTACAACATATTAAGAAATATACGGACAAGACAGTGATGATAGTCTGTCATTGTTTACATAGATGATTTCTAAGCAACGATAAACACGTGCATATAAGACGCTAGAAGCGAAAAACGTACCGCATTTCATGACGTCACACATGATCGCACGAAAGTGAATTGGAGAAGTATGAAGTATGGAAAGCCGTTGGTATAAACCAATGGCTTCTGTTACCAATTATAGACATTTAAGGATATTTGTAGAGATGCCATAATTGATTTTGTTTAGGTTGGCTTTCAACTGTTTGATGTATAAAGTGTATGAATGAAAAGATGCTGCCTATATACACACAATATATATATATATATATATATATATATATATATATATATATATATATATTGCTGATATCTCCTGAGGAGAAGAAGAAAAAACTAGAAGCTATATATTTGAAGAAAAATTATTGCCAGCAATACATTTTTGAAAAAAAAATTATTACCAGCTATAATTTTTGGAAAAAAGTATTACCAGCTATACATTTTGAAGAAAAACATTACCAGAAAGCGATTTTTGAATAGAAAAAATATTATCAGCGATAAAAATTTTGTCGGCATTAAATAACCCATTGAGGTGTTGATATGCCGTAAAACAAAGCGAACCGAATGAATTTTGTCACACCGTCTGTCTTCCCAAATGAGCAATGGTGAGAGGAAAAAGACCATTCAGGCCTTCAGTAATGGTACCAATATTAGAATGATACCTATCTATCTATCTATATATATATATATATATATATATATATATATATATATATCAGGTCATCCCATAAGTTCTGCCCGAATTTTAACGTTTTGTTAACATGAACGAAATTTAAAGAGTATTTTATAATGTCTAATGGAGCTGAACATTATTTTTATGTTTAGATGCATTTAACCTGATCAAATTTCAGAGAACAATAAAATTAAATTTTGTTTGATTAAAACCCTGCTAACATGGAAGTACCCAAGAATCATTTGAGGCACATAATGCTTTATGAGTTCAAGAAAGGAAACTCAGCAGCTGAAGCGGCTAGAAACATTCACTCATTTTATGGAGAGGAATGTGTGAATGAAAGAACTTGCAGAAGATGGTTTGCAAAATTCAGAGGTGGAGATTTCACCCTTGAAGATGAATATCGAACCGGACGTCCAGCTGAGTTTGATGAAAAGATTCTTGAAGCAGCCCTTGAAGAAAATCCTGCTTTATCAGTTGCGGAATTGGCAGTGGTTGTCATTGGCTGTTCATCGTCATCGTCAACAACTTTGAAAAGTTCCTAAACTTGGAAAATGGCTGCCTCATGAATTGTCTGAAAACAACCTCAAATCCGAGTTGACATCTACTCTTCTCTCCATTCTCGCCAACTTGTTTCACCTTTTTTGGATAGACTTGTGATTAGCGACGAAAAATTCTCTTTCACGCTTCTTACTTTCCAGTCAACTTTGATCTCCAAAAATTTCAATGCAATGTCAATCGTTATCTTCTGTCTTCTTAATTCCTCTTCTTTTATTGTCCTTTCCCCTCACTAAAGTCTTCTAATTCTCTTTCACTCTTCTTACTTTTCAGTCAACTTTGATCTTCAAAAATTTCAATGCAATGTCAATCGTTATATTCTGTCTTTTTAATTCCTATTCTTTTTTTGTTCTCTCGCCTTAATTGTATTTTTCATACTCTATTAGCGTTCGGTAACCCCTTGCGTCTTAGTGGCTTTATTGCCTTGGTTGCGGGTGAAATGTTCCAAAACCAAAAAAAAAAAAAAAAGCAAGCCAAAATAAAACCTAATTAAGAAAGAAAATACCACACACAGCTCAGGAATTAAACCATCCCGGATTGACATAATTAAATGCTACGGGGTCTGATGTCTAATTTTTAGTTTTGGAAACCTAGATTTTTCTTGGGTAGCAGAAGTGCACATCGACAGTTTGTGGTAAAAAGTGCGTCTCTCGTTGGGTTATAATCGGAAGCAGTCGACTTCCAAAGGAAATATCTAAGTAGGTGGTTTAGAAAACAAAATCTGGCTGTTATGATTTTTTTAACCTGGGATATCCGTAACACGTGACGCAAATATGCGACTACCACAGTGGCATGCGTCGTGAGTAAAGCCCCAAAATGTTTACATTGGCTGGTTTAGGCGAGCCCATCTTAAGACTCCAGAAAAGGGCGTTATTTGCCCTGCAACGACGCACAACAGCAGTAGACACAAACCTGATTATTTACCTGATGATAATGATGATTTATAGTGATGGTGATGATTGATGCTTTGGTTAATATGCAGCTACGTTACTCAATCATAAATAATAGAGAGTTCCGTTTCTCTCCATGTAATGACCAAAATTACACTTTCGTCTCTCAATTTGTATGGCCTCCCATCTTTTTGCATCTTCTGATACAAAAAAGGTGTTGCCTCTGGTTCTGAACTGAGGACAAGTAGGATACACAAAGTAAATAATAATAATAATAATAATAATAATAATAATACTTATGAAAAGCCCTGGGTTGAAAGCTGAGACAGAAGGCAGCTCAGGATCGAACCCTGACAACCAGATCCTATCATTGTCACATAATCAAGAATGAAGCGAACTCGAATTGCATGATCTGCGGAAAATACGATGAAAGTGGCGACCATATTATCTCGGAATGTCTGGGACTGGCAAAAAAATGATTCTACCCACAGAGATAACAAGGTAGCGATATATGTGCACTGGAAGATATGCAAGAAGCACAAAATCGAAACTACTGAGAGATGGCATGAGCACCAACCAGACACAGTTACCCAAAATAACGATGTAACTATCCTCTGGGACATTCTAATTCAAACTGACAGGGAAATAAAAGCCAACACACCTGATAATATCATAAAAGACACAGAAATTCAGGAAGTGTATGTTTATTGACATAGCAGTTCCATCTGAGAGAAACAGCTCCATGAAAATTATCGAGAAATCATCATCATCATCATCATCTTGCGGCCTCAGTCGAGATTGAACTCACTACACCTTCCTAGTATTCCTTATCTTCAATACTTTGATTGGTGTAGTTCATAATCTTGTCAAATAGCTGAATTCTTGATGCTTCGCTAGGGCTATCAAGGGTGTTTTTATCGCGACACCATGACTAAATGGATTGCCAACCAAGGCTCAGAGAGACTCCATTCACCCTCATCTAAGAGCAGGTTTGAATTCAGTTTTCCTTCTCCTAGACTAGTTGCCATCCAAGGCTATAGAACCCAGTCTGTCCTGCTATTTACCCATAGCTGGAGGGAGAAGAAGACGATTCATACCTTTCCCAAGGGTATTAGCACGTAAGTGAATGTAATGGATTCGACTGGAATTCGAACTCGGCTCTCCGATTCCTCGAGAAATTGTCCAAATACAACGACCTGGAGATCGAGGTCAACAGGATGTGGGGAATGAAGACTTAGACTATACCAATAGTAATCGGAGCTCTGGGCCTTGTGAGAAAAAGAATGGACAATTTTATTAACAGTGTCCCAGGTAAGATCAACATACAAGTTGCCTAGAAGATCGCCCTACGCGGGACATCACATATAGTAAGAAAACTGCTATTAATTAAATGGTAATTTTCCTATAGG